TTTCCGCTAAAGTCAAAAATAAAGTCAAAATAACGATAAATATTTTTAATTATTTGCAGTATTATAATATTAAGACGGCTATGAAAACAACATGGCGTTCGCGATTTGACAGCATTAAGATAAGCGACAAATTGTTAAACTGGACATACTCGCAACTAGAAGGCTTTGGAAAACAATGATAAAATCAAATAATGTCAAAACATTAGTGTAAATACTTGTTTATAAGCTTTATTGTGTCATTAATTTAAAGAAAAATGTTCTCCCATGAAGAAAAGTGTGATATGTTAGAATGCTATTTAGTGTGCAGAAAATCCTCCTTGAGAGCAAGAGAATACTACAGTGAATTATATCCCGCTCGCATTCAACCGTATGAACGATATTTTCTGAGACTTTATCGAAAATTTAGGGGCAACGAAAATGTTTTTGCTAAAACAAGGGCAAAAAAAGAATTCATAATAAGCGAGGCCACGGAAATTGCAGTTATTGGATATTTTGAAGCTTATCGTGAGAATTCAATAGCAGATATTCTCAAGGACTCTAATTTCAGTTATGGTACTGTTCAAAGGATTTTAAAAAAATACAAATTTATTCCGTATAAGTACCGACCAGTTCAAACGCTTTTGGCAGGGGATCCAGAGAGAAGACTTGTTTTTTGCCATTGGTATCTTAGCTTCTGTCGCCAAAATGTAAATAACTTTCGTTACCTTTTATGGACAGATGAATCAAATTTTTCAAATTCTGGAATGTTTAATAGAAAAAACCACCATTATTGGTCAAGAGAAAATCTTTTGTTAGTACATCCAAGAGGCCCACAAGTCCGTTTCAGTTTCAACGTTTGGTGCGGTATAATTGGTTCAAAAATTGTTGGCCCGTTCTTTTATGAGGGAACCCTAACTGGTGAAAGATATGTGGAATTTATGTCAGAAATTCTGACTAATTTCTTAGACGAATTGGATCTTATAAGTAGACATCATCTGCATTTTCAGCAAGATGGCGCACCTGCCCACAACTCCAGAGGTACTTATCATTTTCTAAGTACTACTTTTAATGATCAGTGGATAGGAACAAATGGCCCAATACAGTGGCCTCCCAGATCACCAGATCTAAACCCACTTGATTACTTCTTGTGGGGTTACTTAAAGAACCAAATTTACAAGCGAAGGTACGATAACCTTGACGCGTTAAAGACTGCAGTTAGGGAAAAGATAACCCAGATAGATGGTAGGACCATACTTAAGACAGTTCGAGCAGTTGAAAAACGTGCCCAAAAATGTATTGAAGAACAAGGTGGTGTTTTCGAGCATCTTCTTTAAAAAAAATTGTTATTGTATTTTGTAAGATTATAAGTTGATGTTGAAAATAAAGTTTGTCGATACAATTTAATTGTTTCAGATTGGAGGCCATAACTTCAACAATTTGTAACCTAGGAGAAAAGTTATTGTAAGCTTTTTTGTTTAAAATTTGATGCTTTAACAGAAAAAAATATAATATACAGGGGTTTCCATTTAAAAAAATGTTATTTTACTGAAAAAAATCAAAATAACGACTCTCAATTGTTTTTTTTTATTTCTCATTTTTACCAGCGTTAAAAATGCTACTAGTTTGCTAATTCAAACAACTTTGTATTTTCACTAATAACAAAGTTACTAATGGTGGACACTTAATTTGGATAACCCTGTATAGATATACCTAGCGAACTTTATAGGAGAGACCTGGCAAAAAGAACATCTCAAGCTTTCTACTACTATTAGAGGAATCTCAATTAATCTGAAATTGATTAAAACATCTGCAATGATCTTTAGTTCATCCATGCTCAAGAAATAAACAGTAGGTTTTAGTTGTAGCTATTAAGGACATGGATGACAAAAATCAAAAAGGTGCAAATTTTTCAGCTCTCATGGATCGCCGGGTACGGTAAATACATACAACAAATTCTTAGGAAGTTAATTTATGACCAGTCATTATTAAAATACGTGAAGTGCTGTTACATTTATTTTGCTCCAACAGAACAAAATCCCCCCTAGTATTTTCAGGAACACAAAATTCGAGGATAAGGGAGATGTGGTTATTACCCTGACACTCTATTTCGAGAAAGTAGAGCGTAGAATTGTTATACAGCGTGTTGTTAAATTAAAAAAGTTTTCATTTCATTCGCCACTGCAGATAAACGGAATCAGTCTAGATTTGAAAAAAAAAATTAACCTTACGCAGAAAGGCAATAGATTTCTCTACAATTTGATGGAAAATTTTTTGATTTAGTAATGGAGTTAAAGAAGTTGTGAAAGGAAGAGAGTAAATTTGTGGTAAGATGTCCATTGACCTCTAACTGAATTCAAACCACAGAGTGACTGAAAATTGGAGTAGTGAAACATCATTTTACCCTGTGCATTAGGTGTACCTGACAAAAAATAAATAAAATCGAGGTAAAAAGAAATGTTATGACGTTCCGAATTTGATCAAAATTTTACTTGTTGCGCTTATTTTGAACCTGAGTGTATATTGCTAGCTACTTGTATCAATTTGCAGTAGGTGCCGTACAAATTAAATGAGATTTTCCGACCAGACTCCTTGATTTGTTTTTTGCCATATTCACATACCATCTGCACCAAAATACCAATTTTGAATTCGCCAACAACAAGAGTCACTTATCAAGAGTTTTCTTTTTTGTACAAAAAAACATCGACTCAATCTTTCTCCTTTGTATGACTAAGAAAGTCCGCGAAGCATACGTTAGATACCTTCATATAATTTGTATTAAACTGAAATTAAGTACAACACCTGTCATGCAAAAGGTCTTTTTCTAATGCATACACACACTTCAATGTCTTGTAGCCAAATCAGCATATTAATTCTCTAAACTGATTGTCGATTGTTAAAGATAGTTGGGCTGGTATGTTTAGGTGCTTTTTCGTGATAGGAAAATCGTGATTTTGAATTTCGAGCGGAAATTTGCTATACTCCTCTATAGTCTAGGAAATTGATTCCCAAAGTGGTCTATATCGACCCGTAGGGATCTATGACAACCTGCAAGGGGCCTACGTCAGCGAAAAAAAATTTGGGGGTCCATGAAATGAACATGGGGATCCACGATAGTGGATCTCAACACATACACTGATAGTACCTATTTACTTACATCATACTATCTTATAATATCAAAACATACATTATTTATAAAAGTACCTATAAAGTAAAAAATTTATTATATATGTTTATAAAATTGTGTAAGTTGTATGATGTTGGCATTCGCTTCGTGGTTGCAATACATTTTGAACTTGTAAAAACCTGAGAGTCGCAGTCTCAGAGCTTCGCTACCTTGCACTGACTTGTTCAATTCGTCACTCTATAAATACGAATGTGGGACAAATACGTTTATTCGTTTCCTGAATCTTGAAAAGGAAAGTGCTAAGAAAGTATTTTAAAAAATATAAACAGATAGTATATCACACAAATTATAATGAGTCAGTGTTATTTGGTTTGAGAGTGCTGGAGAAAAGTAAGTACATTATTTTTTATTAAATTTTAGTTTTGTACTCGTAGTTAGCAAATATAGATAAATTACTCCAATCATGACTTTAGTTATTAGTAGTTAAATATTCAATCATGCACAATTACACGAGTACTCCTCCATAGTTTCTTTTTGAAAGTTTTAGCAATCGGTAATATAATTACAGTGCAATCTTCGTAATATGAACTAATTGTTGCAAGAAGATGTTCGAATTATGGAATGTTTTCGGAAAAATCAAAAAATATTTTTAATATACAGCTGCTGGATTTTCTGTCTTATTTAAATAATTTAATTTTGCCCACAGATGACTGATGCCATTTCCGAATCTAAAAAGAAGTGTAGACAGTACAGTGTTGATTATTTTAAATTTGGCTTCATTCCATCATTGCCGGACAAACAACCGCCTATGTGCCTTTTATGCAACAAAGTTTTGGGCAATGACGCTATGAAAGCATCTAAACTGCAAGATCATCTGAGAAGATGCCACCCTGATAAAACAGAGAAAAATTTGAAATACCTTCAAACACTCAAAGATAAATTTCAGAAGAGACCTACACTGGACAGAATGTTCGCTTCGACGTCACAAAGAAATGATGATGGTTTGCGGGCGTCTTACAATATCTCGTTACTTATAGCAAAATCCGGAAAACCGCATACTATCCGAGAGAAGTTAATTTTGCCAGCCGTTGAAGAGGTTTTAAAAACTGTTTTACACAAACCTGCATCTGATATTAAAAGAATTCCCTTAAGCAGCAATACTGTTGAAAGACGTATTGATGAAATGAGTTCTGATATTGAAAGCTTCTTATGTAATTATTTGCAAACGACCCATTTCTCTATACAACTGGACGAGTGTAACTTTACCTGATAATGCAGCATTATTATTGGCATATTTTATGTTCGTTTTATTATGAATCAAGAAATCTACGAGGAACTGCTCTTCGCAAGAACTTTGATAACCGACACTAAAGGTGAATCAATATTTCATGTTTTGAAGGATTACTTCATTGAAAAAGCAATTCTTTTATCAAATATAATATCAGTAGCTACAGATGGAGCACCTGCCATGGTTGGACGTTATCGTGGATTTATAAGCTATTTAAAACAAAATGTGTCAGGGGTGTTAGCAATACATTGCGTCATCCATCGACAACATTTAGTTCCTAAAAATTTGAGTGTTAGATTGCATGAATCACTTCATTTAGTCATTGATGCAGTAAACCGAATCCGAAGCAACGCGTTGAATACGCGGTTATTTGCGCAGTTGTGTGAAGAAAATGACGAACACTTTCATCAGTTACTCCTTCACACTGAAGTACGCTGACTGTCGAAAGGCTTATGTTTGACAAGATTTTTTGCACTTTTTGAGACTATTTTAGAATTTCTGGATACTAAAGATAAAATTTTAAAAGAAAATTTAATGAAGAGGAAAACACATCGCCTATTTAACAGATTTGTTTACAAAATTCAATATGGTTAATTTGCAATTACAAGGCGACAGTTTAAATTTGATTAAAACAAAGTCCATCTTATCAGCGTTTCTTGCCAGAGTTAAACGAATGAAGCAAAATATTGGACGGGGCGAATTTTCTCAGTTCCCCAATTTGTCAGAGACAAGCTGCCAGGAAGACGACGTTTCAACTTACGTTCAACATTTAAATGCCCTCTATTCAGATTTTAAATCTAGGTTTGAGGATATTTTGACTATGGTAATACTACCGTGGATAATGAATCCATATGGTGACATAGAAGAAACGAATGTCATAATACAAGAGGAACTGACTGAACTAAGTACAAACGAAGAACTTAAGGTTCAGTTTAAAAACGGATATCAGCAATTCTGGCTGCAAAACAACATACCCGTTACTTATCCCGTATTATGGAATATAGCGAGGAAATTTTTAATTTCCTTTCCATCGTCATGCCTAGTGGAAAGGGGGTTCAGCGCTGTTACCAATCTCCTAACGAAAAAAAGAAACAGACTGGACATCATTAGCCGAGGAGATTTAAGTATAACCCTTACAAAATTGACGCCAAATGTTGATAATTTATTATTAAAGCATCAGGTTCATCCTTCTCACTAAAAATATTGACTTATTGCTTATGTTATTTTATTTATAGTTTATTTTATGTTGATTGGTGTCTGACCAATAAATGCCCGCATTGGGAATAAGTGCCCGCATTGATTTTTTTAAAGCACCCCCCTTTATAGAAAATATTTTTTTTTGTTTTATCCCTCTTATTTTTTTTTTCAATGCGGGCACTTATTCCCAATGTGGGCACTTATTGGTCAGACACCTGTTTATTTAATGTTACGTATATTTTACATAACAGATACAAAATTTTATTTTGAGTAGTTTTAATTTAAATTCAACTAATAAATATATAAATTAACATGTGTTTTTACTTTAAGTTTTTAATCCTAAACTTCACTACAGTTAGAAATTTACAGGAAATCAATATCATGTAAGTAGGGGGTCTACCCCACACGGAAAAATATGGCAAGGGGTCTACGACACAAAAAAGTTTGGGGAACTCTGGTCTAGGATATCTAGAATCCTAGACAAAAAAATTTAGATGAGCTGTTTACAATAGAACTATATTCCTGAGGATGTATTAAAATTTTGCTGGGCTCTGAGCCCAGATAAGCGTAGGAAACGCTTGACGAAGAAACGGCAGTATCATTCTAAGTGTTAAAGACAAATGTCCTGGGGTTAGATAGACCAACATCAAGAAGTCCAGATATATCCTCCACCACCTTACCCCCTCCTGCCGCCCAACTATCTTATCCCTGAAACGTCAAAAAAAGAAGTTTGAGAAATTTTTATTTTTCCGTTTTTGGCATATTAGTAACCTTGTGTGAGACAGACCGACAGACCGACCGACAGAGATACAGCGTGTCTCATAATGGTTTGTAGATCTATGTTGTGTATCCAGAGATAATCTCATCCAGGCACCTTGCTTCCTTAATTTATCACGTATGCCATTATGACGTTCATCGAAAGATTGTATTGACATCCTGTAGAAATCAAAGAATTTATCTGGATATGCTCGTACCTTTGCTCTTTTTAGATATTATGGACTCCCGCGGATTCCCCCACTGTTTAACGGATGCACCCAATCCCGAGGTTTCTTTTTTGATAATGATAATAGAAGTGCAATCGCAATTAAATCGTCGCTCTCCATCGCCAAGCATTCACAGAGCCGCCACTGAACGTACTGGTAGTATAATATTCACTTCAAAAAATTAAACTTTTGCGCTAGGCCCACGGAATTCCGAATTGGAATTCCTTATTAGGAAATCGTATACGGAAAAGGGATGTATGCGCCCAGCCTAAGTAGAACGATTCTTATATCATGGCGCGGCGACGTTTTTGTGTACATTTCAATTTGATATGTGTAACTTCAGACCTATCTCACTTCTTAGTCCCTTCTCGAAGGTGTTTGAGAAATATGTCTCTCTGCAACTCATCAATTTCTTTGACAGATTCAAATTATTTAATAGTAATCAGTTTGGATTTAGAAAAGGCATGTCAACCAAAAATGCCGTACTTCGTTTCCTAGATGATTTATATCTCAAGATGGATAAAGGAGAAAAATGCATAGGTATATTTCTTGATTTAAGCAAAGCTTTTATCTTGGTTGACCATGGTATTCTGCTAGATAAAATGGATAGATATGGAATCAGAGGGAACCCATTAGACTGGTTCCATAGCTATCTGTCGGATAGAAAGCATCATGTCGAGGTACAAAATGCACAGTCCAGCCAACATTTCTACCATACTGGTATTCCACAGGGTTCCATACTTGGTCCTCTCTTATACATAATGTACGTCAATGACTTCCCCTCCGATTGCTCGGTAATGTATGCTGATGACACTTCTTTACTTGTTAATGGTAAAAACCTAGAATCTGTTGTAGGACTTGCCAATTCAAGCTTGACTGGTGCAGGTAAGTGGTTCAGCAATAACGGGCTCGTCTTAAATAATCAGAAATCTGTTTTCCTTAGATTTAACCTTTCTACCTCACCGATGGATCACACTTTATTTGGTAAATCAATAAAACAAGTGGATGCGACTAAATTTTTAGGGATATATATATCTCAAAATTGTAGATGGGATACGCATATTGAGAAAAGTAGCCAAAAGATCGCCCCACTCTGTTACTGTCTGTACCAGTTAAGTTTTGTTGTGGAGTAGTGGATATTACTAATATTTTACCATGCACATATCCATTTAGTCCTAATTTATGGAATAGAAGCATGGGGAGCATCGTCCCAGCTGCAAAGACTTTTTGTGTTGCAAATAAAGGCTGTTCGAGTAATAGCTAAAATTGGAAGGCTCACTAGCTGCAAGGATTCATTTAGAACATTAAAGATTTTAACCTTACCATCTGTATATATACTCAATATACTTATCCTTGCTAAAACATAATTGAGCAAGTTCAAATCTGTAAGCACTGGTGCTTACTTTACAAGGAACAGTCAAGTATTGGAGGTGCCGTCGCATAGATTGGCGAGAAAGTAGGAGAGCCCAAGATACAATAATTTGAAATCACAACCACTGAACACTTTTATCAGAACAGTCAAACAGTTTTTACTGGAGAAAGCTTTTTACTCTATTGAGGAATTTTTAATGTGTGAATGTCTTGTTTGATTTTGATCATTGTTGTTTGAATGTCACTTAATGGTTTGTCCTTTATTTCGCTTTTTTATATATACATATATGTTTTATATTTATACGAGTACATTTTATCAATAAGCTAATTTGATTTATCTGTATCCATATTTGGAATATGCCATATGTGGTACGAATATGTGTGCGTCCACACCAATATGATTTGTTATTAGCTTTTGTAGTGCTCTGACTGACTTATCCTATATCACATCTGTGATCTTACAGGACTAATAAATTATCATTATTATTATTATTATTATTTTAGTGTTTTCCTCTTGTCCTATTGTGACAGTCTTAGGTGAATCCAGATCTCTACCCGAGATCAAAGCGATTCACCCTAATACCTTGCGGATAATGTGAGCAGTGCCCAGTAGTGCTATTTTCTGCATTTCAGCAACAGATGGTTTTCCTGGTAGTTGTGAGAGGTTGGTCTGTAACCCCTTTCTAAGGGTCCCTAGGGCTCCTACAATGACTGGAACTGTTCGGGTCTTAACATTCCACATTCTGCTTACCTCTATTTCCAGGTCTTTATACTTGCTTAACTTTTCTGCTTCCTTCAGCATTACGTTCGAATCGTTAGGAACCGCTACATCTACTAGTAAGCAGGTTTTTGTTCTTTTATCAAGATACACTATGTCCGGGCGGTTCGCAGGTATGGTTCTATCAGTGATGATGGGAACATCCCACATGATTCGAACATCCTCATTGTTTACAACTTTATTATTTTCTGGAGTATGCTCATAATATTTATCGCAGACCTTTATACCAGCCCCTTTGCTCATTAGTCAGTGTAGATACCTTGCTACGTTGTTGTGCCTTTTTGTGTATTCAGTAGGTGCGAGTGTGGTACATCCAGCCACGATGTGGCTTATGTGCTCCTCTGCTTGATTGCACATCCTGCACTTACTGTCCACTTCGCAACCAAGTATGCGCTTTTGGTGATAGCGTGTGTTGAGGGCTTGGTCCTGAGCAGCAATCAAGAGGCTTTCTGTTCCGCCCTTCAGACCAGAACTACGGAGCCATGCAACGCTAGCGTCTTTGTCTACGCCTGGTCTACTAAGGTTTCTGTAGAACTGGCCGTGTAATGGTTTATTTTTCAACATTTCCATTCTGCGTTTAGCAATGCTGACCTTGATTTGGACCTTTGTATTCGACGTCCTAGAGTTGTCACTTTGGTAGTTTGATTTTATACTCGCTGCTTCTCTCTCAAGAGAGTATTTACGTTTCTGGGCATCGTGGATTTTTAACATTTTCGTATATTTGTCTTTCTCCGAGCTCAGGTATTCATGCAGGTCTAGAATGGCTAGATCATATGCATATTCTAACTCTATTAAACCTCGTCCGCCATCATGTCGTGCGATGTATAGACGCTGAACGTCAGCTTTGGGATGATGCGTACCTTCACAAGTTAGTAGTTTTCTTGTTTTCCTATCTAGCTTGTGTATATCGGTTCTCAGTTTTTAATTATTCTGAAAATTCAAGTATAGGTACACACTAAAATTCGTTAATTTTTTGCCTATTTTTAGATAACTTAAACGTATAAGAAGCGGAATTTAATCAAACTAACAGTGAAATAATTGTAGAACATACGTTTATGTTATAATTAATAAACGAACTCTCTTATTGTACTATTTTAAGTAAAACACTTTTTTTTATTATTTTTCACTTTTTTTTATTTCCTCCCTCTTATTTTTTTTTTCAATGCGGGCACTTATTCCCAATGCGGGCACTTATTGGTCGGAGACCTGTTTATTTAATGTTACGTATATTTTATATAACAGATACAAAATTTCATTTTGAGTAGTTTTAATTTAAATTCAATTAATAAATGTATAAATTAACATGTGTTTTTACTTTAAGTTTTTAACACTAAACTTCACTACAGTTAGAAATTTACAGGAAATCAATATCAGGTAAGTAGGGGGTCTACCCAACACGGAAAAACTTGGCAAGGGGTCTACGACACAAAAAAGTTTGGGGAACTGTGCTTTAAAACCTCAAATCCATTATGAGGTATAATATCTCATTTTTTGAATGTTTCTCGATTACAATACTTCCTCGCCCCGTGGTGTATGGAGTAAAAATTGTAACATTCACATGAACAAACACTAGTGCATTTTTAAAACAGTTAATTTTCATATATGCCGTGCACGTGTTTGCTTCTGGTAATCGGCCGTTCTGAAATTCGCTATTATATACATGAAAAAGCAGTGAACACCTTTGACACAGTTTTTTGAAATCAAATAATTCATTCGCGAGCCCGGTGGCAGGTATTAAAAATAATTCAATGATGGCGTTAGGGCATTTTCAGCTAAATATAAAACGTGACTGGCCCTTTGAATATTTAAGCAGATAGAGCATGGTATAAATTAAATCCTGATGCAAATGAGGCTCCATGTAGATATGCAGATACAGTCCGATATAACCAAGCGTATATACCTGGGCCTACATGGCTAAACATTAATTTATAGAGGTAGCAGTGACATCAGTTTCTACTCTCTGGATTATCCTCCGTCAGTCTTTGGAGTATGCGAGATATAAAGGGTTTTCCAATAGACGCGGGTCCATGTTGGAATAAAAATATGGCGTCAAGCAGACTGACTACAGGGTGTCCTAAAAGTTGGAAGTTTTCTTTTCGGAAAGAACCACGCTTGAAATAACAAAGTATACTAGTGAAACAGTAGCGAAAAAAGGAAAAATATAATAAATGCAAAAGTACGCACCGTCTGCTTACAGAGAAACTTCACCTACAAGTACTGTTCGGAGTAGTCTCCGTTGTTAAGGCGGCTCCGACGCAGTGAGTTTCAAGCCATTTACAAGGGTTCAGCTGCTTCAAAACTGACACTTCATTTTTCAATATTTTTGAATGAAATTCATACAGTATCTTGAGAAGAGCCCAGGGTGCTATATGAGCACTTTTTGAAATTTTGCTTTTGCACCATTTTTATGATGGGTTGAAGTGCGCACTTTTTCTGTTCAACTTCGCGATTTTTTTAAAAAGAAATTAGTGAAAAAAATGAAAAAGTGGCTTTATAGCACACGGGTTTTGTTTTCAGCGCTCTGTGAAAATTTCATCCAAAAATATCAAAAAATAAATCGTCAATTTTGAAGCGCGAAAACCTCTACAAATCGTATTTTGGACGAATTTTGTCTATTGTTTCGTGCTGCCAACCCAAGCGTTGCGGCGCAATGTACGGACTAAGATAATTTGGTGGCCCTATTTCATATAATATCTCGTAGATAAGTCGTTCTGCAAATAGGTACTCATAATCGCGATCGCTGATACTCCTCGATTTTAAAGCCGTTTTACTTCCCACGCCATTGGCGAGGAAGTATTGTAATCTCGAAAAATTTCTAAAATGAGACGTTATGTTTTTTTTAAGTGATATGACATCTACATCACGAAAAACTGTATCACTCATTATCAACTTGGAAATTACCGCTCGGATTTTTTGAAATATCCACACGCGGTTACTAGTATGCCAAAGCTTTGTAGTTTTAGTCCAGTGGCAACGGTGCTATAGGCAAAAAAGAAAAAGTAACAATTGCTGAAACTCCGTTTTTGACGTTTCAGGGGTTTCTAATCATTGACATAAAAAAGTGTACTGCTTAAAAAGTGGGGGTTGAAATCAGTGAAACATGTTCTATTACTAAGTAGCTTCTGATCGCACTGATTACAGGAAATTTAAGTATCGAAAATCCGACGAATAATGTGCTCACGATTTCAAAAAATCGGTACCTGCTCTATAGGTTTGACACGAACAGCCAACAGATCTGCAGCTACCGACAGTTGGGAAGAATAAATTCGGATATCACTCCAGTCAAGAATACGGGAAGATGTGGTCATTGAATGAGTACATAGGCAGCAGCGGTGGCCGCAGTAGTAGACTCTTCGGTCTCCTGATCAGTCGCCGTGCGCTGTGCGGGTTCGAGTCCCGCCCCAGGAGAATTTTTTTCTCTTGGCTATGGATGTTGTGATTGTCCGTAGGTGGTAGATGTTTTCTGATTGTCGAACGCGGAGGTACCACCCGGCGGTTCTCGTAGGCGGAGCCAGAATGTGTGCATGTTGCATGCACACGTGTTCCCTCGCCAGAGTCCGTGTGGCGTCCCCCCCTTTTCCCATGTACCCCCTATAGCCCCACGGTACCCAATGGGTGCTTAGGCCTTAGGCCTTCGTGGTCGTTGGAATATAAAAAAAAAATCTGGACAATATGATCGGTATTCTAATTGAACTTGTAATAATTAATATGGACTATTCGGACTACGAGAGAATTGTGAAAAGTATGTGCATTTATTCCTATAAAAATAGTCATTTATTTTGCTAAATTTTTCCAAGACCATTGAGGAAAATACGGACCTGTACAATCTCGCTTTTGGGCATGTTGTGTTTTGTCTGGCCATAAACAGACTACGCTTATTTTTCAATCGCATTAAGGAAGGACCCAACTTTGCGGATACTAAATAGTTATTTCCATGAAGTGCAATGTCATCAGATACACATAGGTTCGCCAGAACCGTTTGAATACTATTTGGGCTTTTCATGGAATGAGCATATCCACACACAGTAGCTTTACTTCTGTCTAGCTCTGGTGTGAAACTGATTGATAACTGACTATAATAGGTCGTACTTTACTGTATATACAGGGTGTCCCAATATTTTGTTGACATAAAAGGCGTTCTAATATTTGACCTTTAAGAAAAACTCTAAAGTGTTCAAGAAGAGTGAAAACCACTCTCACCCCTACATAAATTATAGCAGAATTGTTTATCGCTTATGAAAATCAAATATACATAATTTGTTGCATATTAACGAAGACCTTTCAAAGGAAAGAGATTAGTATGACATACTGTAAGCGTTTTTTTATCAGCCTGGTCTCCCATTTTGCAAGTAGTATTTGAGAGAATGTAACAAGACGACGCTCAGTCGTCATTCTGCAACTGCCACTTTTACGTAAGAGTATGGTATTAATACATCATTATTATCTCCATGAAGTTGATCTTTCTTACTTAACCTGTTCAAGAAATACTGGACTTTTTTTAAAAGCTCTGTTTACACACATCTCAAAAAGGCAGCATCAATGACAAACATACAACCGGAACGAAAATTTAATGTCCATAATCTCATGAGAACTTAGTGCAACCGGTGCACTTCCTGAGGTCAGCCAAGACGCTGGACAACTGTCAAGTCTGGAGCATGGGGCTTAAGAGGAGAATTTCCCCTTTCGGTCGCGACGCTCTAATTTACTGTGCGGTAAGCTGCGACGCACAGTTACCGCTACCGGTAAGGTAATACAATATGCAAAGTTAAATTGAACGCTAACAGCTATGGGGCCAGCGCCCGCCAACAACTTTCTTGGACTCAGTTTCCTTGCCCGCCTGCCATAAATGAAACATCGTAAGTCCCTGAGGATTTGCTATACTGTGGACCATGCAACCGCTCGATAATCAAGCTTCCATATTGTCAAATAATAATTACCGGATTGCACTTGAATATGAATGTTCTTCAGTTGACATAGCGACGGCATTGGCTATATAGTGGAGTGCTCTTATGTTTTCACCTCGGCACGGGTATCACGTATCTTGAAAAGTGGCATTATGCCGATTTTTTTTGACATTATGCTGTTTTTTTGGACATTATGTACGTTTTTCTACAAGATATTAACTTAACACTTAGTTGTACGGGTTGCCTCATGAGGCTTGTTATCAATCTTTGGCTCTGATGTGATGTAAAATCTGCTTCTGAGATGGCATTACTGGAGGTCTAAGCTGTAACTTGTATGTGTTGATGACATTTACATTGGGTTCTTGTCTCAAATACACTTAACTGAGATTCAAAGCTAGAAATTAGTTGCGCAGCACTTTTTCTTATCCATTCTGGAAGTTACCTATACAAATTTGCTGAATTTCAAAAATGAGAGTGATAAGAAATAATTATATTCACTGTACACCGTCGAATTACAAGCCATATACATGCTAACAGTAAATACACACAACGCGGGCGCGGTGATGATTTCCCGTAATTCTCCTCAGTTTTTTGTAATTTATAACTTTGAACATAACCTCTCTTCAGAAAGCACAACATGAAAATAACCCGTCGGGTACAGCCAATAGATATACTACATTGGCAGCATATTCAGTAATGATTTTCTCACACAGCAAATATCACCGATTTTATACACATGCAGACCAATACACAATCGTCCAGATGCGATCTTACTATTCAACCAACTTTCTTCTCAGAGATAAAAACGACAGACAAGGACCACTCGGTCTCACAAAACATATGCAACCAATAATGTGTGCAGTTTAGTTGAGCAATTTCTCCATAGATGGACGATCTCAACGATCCTAGTGAGCAAACGTGGAATGACTGTTTGCGCCTTAAAAACTAACTAGTTTGCAAGATGACATCTTATAGGTTTTTTTTTGACGTTTATAGGTTTTTTACATGATACCCGTGCGGAACCTGGCTTAACTAAATGAAAGTTTGAGATCCTTAGTGAAATTCTGCTGAGCTCGTGCCGAAGTGCCGCTGGAGTCTATGGAGGATGAGGTAATAATAATAATAATATTTATTCACCAAAAGACAATTTGTTAGAGATCGTATCGGGATGATCAATGGAAAAACTAATTCATAACACTTATAGGAATGTAAGAATGAAATACGTACATTAACATACACAAATTCATGATACTTCATTACATTTGATACGAACAGAAATGATCTATCAACGCTATAAAAAATGACCCGATGGACTTCACAAACAAATCCAAATTGACAATCGACTTAACAGTTCGTGGTAGTGCGTTGGACAGCCTTACACCCAGAGAATTAGGGGCGTACGTGCCAGTTTTATATTTCAAATATGGTATCTATGTATAAGTAATTACTTTTTCATATATATAGACCATGGACGTCACTGACGGTTGGCAGCTTATTAATATTTTTAAAAACCTCTTTACAAGAATGTGTGCTAGGTAGACCTACCAGACATCTAACTGCCCTCTTCTGGGCTACAAAAACATCTTGAGAGCTCGTGCCCGTAGGTACCTCAGAAGCACACTATAACGAAGTCTGTTACTAATATGGGCAAGGTAGAACAATAGCATTTGATCAGGTAAGCAATGACCTTATATTGTTCATCGAGTGTCGCTTGAAGATTAATACTTGACAATGAAGCCTCTAACGGATCTAAGTGCAGGCCTAGGAATTTTATGCTTTGACAGCTATTTGTGATTATGGACGAATTTACCACCTGTAGCATCAAATTGTCACAATCTCTCTGTCTGTTATGGAACCTCAGTACTACTATTTTTGCAATTTGTCCGAGATGAGTATCAAAGTGTCATCCCCATACATGGTGTATGTGGCTGGCACTGACAGATTATTATTAAATCGTTGATGGGTATTACGGAAAGGAAGGGACCTAATACTGATCCTTGGGCGACACCGATGTTTATCCCCTACTATCTGAGGAGATATCATTTCCGGAAACAAATTGCTCTCGATCCCCGATACATTTTGGAAATTTCAAGATGACCACTGGGCGCCATTTTGAAATATTTTCAAGGGGAATGCGATGCGATGTGAAACTTCATTTCGAAGCTCTTCAAAATAACTATAGAATATGAAATTACTATCCATCAAAATGGCGGACTAGCAGTCATAGTTGAACGTTCTTGTTCATTGAGTCGCTAATAGGTCACTATTAACTATTGATCAAAACGATATACGTATACGAGGTCCGTAGATTAAGTGATGGGACTGGCAACGTAGCGTTGGATCTGGCAATACTGTAGGCACCGGGTTGGAGGGGAGACAGGGGACAGCCTCCTTGTTCGCCTGACTTGAATCCTTGTAGCTGTTTTCTCTTTCCAACGTTGGAAAATCACCTCATGGGAACTCATTGTGGGACAATCGAAAACAATCAAATGGCTGAAACCGACAAGGCTCTTCCAAGGAGTGGAGGAACCGTCTCCTGCGGTGTGTAGCTTCAGAAAGAAGTTATTTTAACAGTATAAAATTGTAATTATATTTGAATAAAAAAACCAAATAAATCAGTCACATCACTTCTTTTGTAACTGTCTATTTGAATCTGCAATAAAATCTGGGCCAACCAATTAAAAAAATACAGATTTTGAAAAAATGTTTTAATGAATGTTTCCATATTCTAAATAGAATAGAAAATAGAAAGCTTGATGGAACATACTATAAGTTGTTGAGTTATGAACGACTAAACGTACAGAAACAACCTGCCAGTTCATAATTTTGGGACATATTCATTTTTGTTCTAAAGTTATAAAGTAGCTTCAAAACAGTGTATCGCATGACCCGTCATTCAATTCACAAAAAATTATCGAAGATGGCGCTACCAATCATTTTAAAATTTTCAACTACCACTTTCACGCAAAAATATAGTATTTATGTGTCAATATCATCACCGTGAATTTCAGTTTGCTAACTTGACGTCCAAAAATAGGTAGAGGTGAGGGAACCTTCTTGAAAAGAACTGTATGTTGACCGAGACCCACGCTTCCTGTATTTGACACGTGGGCACCCATGAAAGGAAGAAAGGGCAGCTAGCAATAAGAGCTGCCGTCAGTTTATACTATTGACCCGTTCTGTTCAATTTTATATACAATATCCACCAATCGAATTTCAAATTCATTAAGCTCCCCAATTGCAATTTCATGCCGGGTTAATATATATTTAATCATATTTGGGTCATTACGAATAATTATAGTGCCAATAAGCTCATTTTTTGAATTGGTAATGTTAATTAATTTCAACGTATAGGATTCATGAATAACTGAATACGGATATTTCATCAAATGTATTTATTGTAATTGAACTCAGCATAGTCCATATTTGACTTCTTTATCGGTGGGTTTCGGAGGTTTTGGGATGAGTACCAAGCCAGCCTCCTTCCACCTCTCCGGAAAGACTCCCGTTCTCAAGCATCATTCATCACAGACGGCACGATGTCGGGTATCTCTTTAATCAGCGCTTTCACGATCTCGTTTGGAATTTCATCTAGTCCTGGTGATTTGCCTGTTTTCAAATGCATTGTAGCTTCTTCCAGCTCACTCGTGGTGAGCTCTGGTACGTTCGCAATCTTCTTAACTTTCCATTCGGTGGGTGAGCAGCTCGAAACAGTCCCTCTGCAATTGTTGCTCAGCATCCAGGTACGATACGTCTGTGAGTTTTAGCTTTTCCATAGCTATTTTGTATTTGTGACCCCGAACCTTGTTTTCCAAGTCATTTAATAAGTCTTTCCACATCCTTTGTTTGGAGTTCATTATGAGCTTTTCTAGTTTTTCTTGGTACCTATATTGATGTTGTTTTTGTACTCAAGCATCATAACCTTATTCCTTGTTCCATTTGCTCTATGGTACTTTCTATTTTCTCTTGTTATTGTACAAGGTGGCACATCGAAAACGAAACAGGCACATTCACTGGCAGCTTAGTTTTTTTTTGAAAAACGCTCAGACCCGTCGATTTGGTTTTCGAGGGGAACACAAGTTTGGCAAAAAATTACGTTAACACGTGCAGCCCCCTGGGCGGGGGTGACACCAACCCTAAAATCTTAAATGGAATGGGGGGTCGAGTGATACCTTATTTTAAAGGTCTTTCAATTCCCTTTACAATAATGTAAAATGCATGAGCTTCAGTTCAGTAGTTTTGAAGATTTATAGATTTAAAGCTTAAAGTAGACTTTAATAGGTACATCAGATTAGTTTGTACTACTTTCAGAAGAAATTTGACTAAAAGAATTTTTTATCATTTTGTTGTTGAAAATAGCTATTGGAGCGTTTTTTGTGGCAAAGTTATTTCTTGAAGAGAGATAAGGAAATATCTCGTACTTATTTTAAATAGGAATTTAGTACATAGTTTGCGATTGATTTGACCAAACTTTGTTGCTAAAATAACTTGTAACGCTTTATTGCATAAATTAACCATGGTATATTCCACAGCAGAAAAAGTTAAAATTATCGAAATCTTTTTCGGAAATAATCAGTGCGCTAATAGAACGGCATAAATATTTAATGAGCGACAAGAGAACAGTAACGTGGATCGAAAATATGTTCTAGAACTTGTAGCTAAATTTCGGGAAACTGGGTCAGTCGCCAATAAAAAACGCAACATTGAAAATCCCATAAGGAACGAAGCAATAGAAGTGGGGGTTTCATTTTCTATTCAACACTTGCTTTTCCGACGAATGTTCTTAAATGGCGTAGTAAATCGTCATAACTGCCGATATTGGACCGATTCTAATCCCAGAATTTATCATGAGGTTCATACACAGTAGCCACAAGAATCAAATGTTTGGGCATGCATTTTTGGAGATCATTTAGTTGGTCCTTTTTTTTTACCTGGAAAATTGACCGGAGAAATGTATTTGGAATTACTGGAAGACGCCATAGATCCTGCATTAACAGCCATATTGCGAATAGGTTGATGTTCCAACATGATGGTGCCCCACCACATTACGCATTACGTGTTCGACAATATTTAGATCAGACGTTTCCAGATCGATGGATTGGTAGAAGAGGTGCGATTAAATGGCCCCCAAGATCGCTAGATTTATCACCTTTGGATTTCTTTATGTGGGGTCATTTAAAAGTCAAAATCTATGCTACTCAGCCAACATCATTAGAAGACCTGCGACAAAGAATTGTGAATGGGTGCCTTCAAATTACTCCTCAAATATTGCAAAATGTGTGGCAACGTTTTGACCAAAATCTTTATTATTGCATGGAGAGTCATAGTGGCCATTTTCAATATTCTCTTGCCTAACGGGTCAGTTCATTCTTCATTTTTAAATTACTTTGCTGCCAAACGTATTGATCTCCACTAATGATGATGTATTAGTTTTATTTAACCTTTAAATCAATAAATTTTCAAAACTCTGAACTGAAGTACATTAATTTTATATCATTATAAAGGGAATTGAAAGACCTTTAAAATAAGGTGTCACTCGATCCCCCCTTTCCATTTAAGATTTTGGGGGTCGTGTCACCCCCGCTTAGGGGGCTGCACGTGCTAACGTGATTTTTTGCCAAGCTTCTGTCCCCCTCGAAAACAAAATCGACGGGTCTGAGCGTTTTTCAAAAAAAAAACTGAGCTGTAAGTAAATGCGTCTGTTTCGTTTTCGATGCGCCACCCTGTACGTATGATAGTTAGGCATTCTTTTATTTTTTGGGCTATTTCATTATTCCACCAATACTTTGCTTCACTCACTTTACCATTTTTGTGAACCACGCCACAGGTGTTGTCAGATGCTGTTATGACTACATCCTCCAGCAGTTGAATTTGACCTTGTAATGATCCAGTTTTGTGTTCCATAGGGCTAACTGCAGATTTCCGGCGAATGATTTAATTTTGCTCAATTTATCTTTTACCTGCGGATCTTATGTGGCTGAGGTAGTTCATGTTTGTTACTTGTTATTTCAAACATAATGGTCGCTTAGGTTTTCATCATCGAGTACGTTGCAGTTTTGATTCTACAAGTCAGGTTCTCACAATGTCGATATACGATGTTTCACTTCCACTAACAAAGGTTGGCCCGCCACCATTGTTTTGCTATGACGAGGCTTCTTGCTGCGAGAATTTGTCTTGTGTCAGTCATCCGGGATCCCCAAGTTGTTAACTTCTAATTAAAATCTCCACCCACCAAGGACTGCTCTATACTGTGGTCTATGAGAGGTTTCAATTCATTCAGTCTTTCTGCGTAAGCGTCAA